TAGTGGTGTAGGAGAGTTCCTTTGGAAGTCTGTTGTTTTTGTTTTTTTGTATAGTGGTTGCAAAATGAGTTTTCTTAGTTGTTGTATTATTAACCATGTCATAGCAGTGGTATTAATAAGAGAAGGCGTTCTGCATTTTACTGACAAAATTTCTTCATCACACTTGCTCCTCAAACTGACTGCTACTTTTGCTGGAATTCTACGAACAGTCGCAAAAAGTTGTTGTAATCTTGGGACTTGTACGGATTAGTAACTTAATGGCTGACAACCAAGTGCTCTTTGCGCCTTGTATTGACTTTGAAAGCTTTTTTGTACTCAGGATTGCTTTCCAGGTTTGGAAGAATTGTTGTTTTATGTGTTACGAATATGCAAAATGAATACATAAGATTTTTTTTTGGAAGATGGCGGTTTGTTTGTTAACTATTAATTGTGTGCGTAATCGCTGTTTCGGTTTCCTTTTTTGTCCGGCTGTTTGTAGGAGAAACTGTAGAAACTGTATCACATATGCAGAGAAGCGCTAATAAAAAGAACTTTTGATGATTCTTTGCTGACCAGAAGAACAGTTTTTGGACAGGTTTGATGTAGATGTACGAGTTAACTTTCTCAAATTCTACATTACAGATAGAAAAAAGGCTTTCTGTGCTTTTTGTGTTGGTTTGTAGGTATATATACATATGGGCCATTCCACGTCAGACTGCACACTTTTCCCTTCACATCTCAGGTTTTCTTTAAATTTTGCTGATTAGTAAAGTTTAGGCGAGCGTAGAGAATGCCGCAAAAAAAAACCTGGAGAAGTGAATTCCCTGCCAAGTTACACTTCCTTAAAGTTGCAAAATTTGCCAGGTTGCCACTTAACATGCTTATCATTACAGACTTGTAATTTAGCTCGTTTTAAACAGAATTTAATGTTTTCTTTCGTTTATTGGATTTGTCATGCCCTGATCTTTTAAGTGCGTATTTATCCGTTCAATTTTTTTTAAAAATCGTATAAATACAATAAAAAAAATTCCAAATAAACATTAAAAAAAAACAAAGTTTCAAATTTTTAAAAAAAAAAACATATTTTGTGCAGACTTTTTTGCTCTACAACATCAAAATTTGGAGATGGCGATTT